ATAGGCGAACTTACAATCAGAAAGAGATAGTTGACATGAGGAAAGTGGGCATAGAGAATTCAAAACACACAGGAAATAATGACGACAAGAGAAGCAGGAAAAACAGCGAGTGACCAACTTATCGAGTTTGTCTAAACGATAGTTAAGAATTACTTAGGGTAACAAAAAGCAGGAAATTGTGGAGAGTTATGATCGCCCACGTGCCGAAAGCACTTGGTACATAAAAGAATAAACGAGCAAATTTGTAGATTTTTTTGACAGAATTTTCGTTAAGCATTTTTCGTGTGAGTGTCTGGTTACAACTCTGTAACTTGGTACGTATGCTGAAGTGTCAGGCATTTAATGTCTTTTAGTTTGTCATCGAATATAAAATGCTTATCATTATAAAAAAAAGTAGCAATAAGATATTTCTTGAAGACGGCAAAATTTTAATTAAAACCTTTTGGTATCATTTCAACGCTAAGTTGAAATGAAAAGTTGCATTAAATATATTTTCGGCAAACATTACCACTTTGCCATCCAAAGTCAAATCTAGTTTAATGTACAAAGATATCACATATTTTAAGACGACAATACCACTAAACAAATCTCGACTTCAGTCATTTTCTCGCCGCCGTAAAGATCATTCCCTGTTCTTTTTCTATAAATACTTTCATGGTAATTGTTCTGAGGAGTTCTTCGTTATAGTACCTAGATCTTATGAATTTAAGCAGAGTACTAAATTAGCAATAAAGTCCCATTAGTTTATGGCGAGATGTAACCGGAATTTCTATACTAACAGTTTCTTTTCTCATACTTCTGGCTTGTAGAGCTCTCTCTCTCTCTCCCAGCTTATTTTTTTCCAGACAAGTCTTATCTTCAAAAATTTAAATGCAATGTCATTCGTTATGTATTATATTCTTGATTACTCTTCTATTGTTCTCGTTCCTCAATAATGCTTCTGTCTTCTAATTTCAATACACCCAGTAACCCCTTTGGTCTTAGTGGCTTTACTCTTTTACTTGGGGTGAATTTGATTAAAAAATAATAATAACTATCCCAGTATCATTGATAAACATAAGATTTTGAAATCTGTTTTTATGCTAACGAACCATATCTATAAGTGATTTCTAAAAAAGAAAGTTGGCTGTCAAACGCAGCAATTACGTAAAATTAGCTACTTTTGAAGAAAAAATGTTTCTTTATTTCTGGTTTTCTAAGGATACTCTGCTCAAAGTACGCATCACGCTCGAGCGATAAACACGATTCTTTAGTTTTTGCATCTCACCGGGTTAAGGGATGCCTGGGATGTTTTTATTGCAATGGTTGGCAAATCTGGGTGGTGTGACGACGCTGCCGAGCAATGGCTTCTCCAGTTTTCTCCCAATGGAATCAGAGATAGGCGACCCATAAGGTCATTATCAACAGATAATGATGTCAGCATAACCCGTTCTACTGCATCGTTGTTATCGCCTTACGGGCTTATAAACTGCGTTATGTCGTAAACATTCGGCCATCTTTACAGCTTCTCCTTCTTTCGTAAAGCGGCACAAATCAACCTCATTATTAATTAAACTTATTTCCAGATAGAGTATTCTTCTTCTTCTTCTTCTTCTTCTTCTAACCTTTGTGCCATGTCCCTCCAAGACGTTGGAAATTGTGGCTCTCCACAAATTCCTATCATGGTTTTCCACAAAATCCTAGCATTCGTAGCTCTAAGCATTGTCTGCCTTTTCACTATCACTTCTAGCAATAAGAAAGTGTTAACAGTGAAAACTATTTTCCTGAAAAATTGTTTTAATAGAAAGATTTTATTTATTTCAATCGACAGTAGCATTTTCTGCTCGCTTAATGAATGCCTAATGTTTCCACAGTCTAATATTACCATTACCACTTACACAAGCACGTTAGGGATCTTACTCGATATTTCCATCTGCCACTCTTGACTTAACTATGATCTGGAGGGGCCAAATTATCCAAGCCCTTTTTTTATTATGTGTCCTGTAAATTTCAAGCTTATTTTTGTTTCTATTTTTCTTAAAACTTCCCCGTTGCTTATAGTTCCTGTCCGTGATGTTTCCATTCTCAGCATCCTTCTGTAAAGCCGTTATCTCTGTTACTTCAAGTCTCCTTATCACATAGCAGTTTAGCCCAATTTACTTTGTTTCTAACGAAATATTCATCTTTCTCAATGCTCTGACATATTTCGTTATTTCAATGTCACATTGACAATGTCACATTGACAATGTTACATTGACAATGTTACATTGACAATATTACATTGACAATGTTACATTGACAATGTCACATTGACAATGTTACATTGAAAATATTACATTGACAATGTCACATTGACAATGTCATATTGACAATGTTACATTGACAATGTTACATTGACAATAACACACTTTCCGTCCTCTGTGAGAAAACTTCCGAAATATTGGTGGTTGAATGGCTACAAGTTAGTGTATCGGTCAATGTTCTAAACGAACAGTGAAAAGTACTACATTATTTACATTATTCGAACTTTTGTCCTCATTTTTATTGCTATATTCACGACGTTTCGGCTGTTTTACTCTCCGGCCTTCTTCAGGTGATTAAAATTTCGAACTGAACCCTTTATTTTGACCACCGCGATAGATTGTTCTAGTTCTATGTGCCATGCCTCTTCTGGATGTCTCAGTTATCTCACTTTACCTCAAATCCCCAAGTTTTTGTTCACCACTGCGGTGGCCAAGTATTGAACGCACAACTGATTAAGTCAAGTCACTCGATCCAACCAGCGCCTTTATCCAATGGGTCCTGTGTCCTCAAGGATCCAGTTGGGAAACAATGTAAATAATTACAATACCTCATCTCAGAAATATAGACAGATAGCTAACAGCACATTCAGAACTTGTAGAATTCTAAAAAGAAAACTATCAGGGCCTAGAGAATTTTAAGCTCAAAAGATGTAGCGAAGGTAAGAGAAGCAGGAGAAAGCAGCGGGTAAACTACTTAGTGAGTGTGTTTGAATGTAGAACAAGGATCGAGAAAGATGACTAATAATTGAAAGAGCAGCAAAAGACAGGAAGTCGTTGAGAGTCATGATCCCTTACGTCCTAAAAAGGACTTGTTACATAAAGTTAGTTATACTTAAATCAGAAATAGTTGGTTGAAATGTCTTAGGAATATAATGAGGAAAGAAGACATGAAGTATCTAATACTCAGAGGACATGCTGATGGTAAGGGGAAAACTACGGTAATCTACTAGGAGTTTGTGTAAATGGATGACAAAATTAGGACAAAGAAGGATGGTGAAGGGTTAAAAGTCACTTGGGACTGCAAAAAATAAGAAGCCGTAGAGAGTCATGACAACTCACATCCTGATAAGAATATTACATTTAAATCAGAAATAGACGATTGAAAATTCTGTGGCATATAATGAGGTAAGAAGTCATGGCGAATGTAAAACTTAGTGGAATTTGGCAAGAGAAACCAGAGAAAACAGCGGGTAATCTACTTAAGGATTTTGTGTAAATGGATGACAAAATAAGGACACACACACACACACACACACACAAACACACACACACACACACACACACACACACAGTTAAAATTAATTTCAATTTTATATCGCTTCTTATTAATCTTAAATTAAAAGAGATCGATCGCTCTGGGAAGAGTCGTGCGTAAGGTAAGCTTCTTAATCATTATAACGATATCTAATAACCATTGTTCTTAATGTCGAGATTTAATAAAAGTTTGGCTCAAGGCTATATGCATGAGTCACTCGTTGAGGATGACATTCTCTACTGCAGTAAAGGCCTGGGAGTGTTTCATTCTATTATCCTACGGTGATATCGAGTATTCCTCATTGGATATCTTTAACGTTTTTCTTTTTTACCAGTTGTAAGATATTGTTTCATCCTATCAACAGTGCCCACCCACTACCAAGAATCGAACCTGAACAGTTACGATACATTGCGTCATACCCACTTCACCAAATAGTTTTTGTTTTTGCCGTGGCCCGTTGGTCCAGTGGGTATGATGGTTGCATTACATTCGTAATGACCCGGGTTCGCTTCTCGGCAATGGATGGTCGCTGTTGATGAGTCTGAAATGGGACGAAACGGCCGTCCCGTGCTTTCTGGATCCTGTTAAGGCTTCTTCTAGACTCAATGAATTACATTAATTTATATATTCGAAAAGTTACCTTGCATTTTTCTAATCGTATTTTTTATATTTCAGATTTCACCTCAATATGGTTTTAACAACTGAAGAATCTGTATTTCTCGTCGAGCACGTTTTTCGAGAAGGTGGTAGATCCACAGATTTGGTATGACAGCATTCTGTTATTCTTCACATCGCAGTGCATTTCGTAGCCTTGATAAAATTCTGGAAATAGGATCAGTCGACGATGCGAAGCGTTGTGAACATTTCAAACGTTCTTCACAATTTCCAAATTGGTGTTCCATCACTCAAGAACATTATCTTGCTTCCCCTTTGAGGTTGTTTCTTACCATCCTCCTTTCTTGTTTATATATCTGGAATTAAAAATAAATGTAAATAACTACACTATTATTTGTATTTATTTACAATATGAATATCGAGGCGAATATTAAAAAAAATAAATAAGTTAATGTAAATATTTCTAATAAAAGAACATATAAACTAGACTTCACATGGTATATATATCACATATCTCGAATATTTTACCCACATTATTTGTTTAATAACGAATTTATACTGCAAGCATTGACTTCCAAAATCAAAGTCTGCCATCTTGCCTGCATCTGTGTATTTTCATTTCGCCTTTGTTACTGCACTGAAGCTGAGATTTGTCTTAATTACATCCCCAATTCCCATTCCCTTTCTCTAATGTGTTTGCAAGAAAGTGCATCGTTTAGGTCATCATCTGCCACGCGTCGTCTTCTCCAACAGCTATGCTTTAATGGCAGATAAGAGCAGATTAAACACAAGCTGTATCGGCTTACACGTGGGCCTGTTGATTCGAGATAATACGAAAATGTTGACGGTCATAACAAATATGTCTTCGAACAAATCGAGAAAGATAAGAGGAGAGAAGTGTACATTGAAAGAGGAGAATGTTTGGAGCAATGCAAAAGTGAAGAAAAGAAAAAAAATATGATACGACAGAAAGAAAGAAAGAAAGAAAGAAAGAAAGAAAGAAAGGTAGTTGTGCGATGATAAAGTGTGTTCTAAAGAGGGATTTGATTTAAATTTAAAGGGAAATAAGACAAAGGTCAAAAAGTAAGAAGGATACATCGAAGAACACATATGGACATAGATAGATAGATAGATAGATAGATAGATAGATAGATAGATTAAAGGAATCTGAAGAGATATTGAAAACTAAGAATTCCTAAGATGAAATAGCAAACTCGCTTTTATTCATTTACCCTGTAGATTGGCCGTATATGCGCCCGGAAAGAAGTAATTTATTTTGCTCTTTGAGATACAAGGTATAATAAATCGTAGAAAAAGTAAATATGACTTAAAAGATGGAAAAAGAAAGAAAACTTGTGGCCACTGAAAAACTGAAGGGTTTGAAAAAGTTATAACTTGTTCGTTTTCCATTTTTTTTTATTGTCTCTTTTTTTGCAGGTTATAGAGCATCCCTTGGAGATTAAAATGGCGACATATGATGTCCTGCAACGAGTAAAACTCATTGATTTTTTCTATTGCAATGAAAGATCAGTTATTCAAATTCAAAGAAAATACCAACAATATTTTAATGTCAGAGTATCCCCTAGCGATAACATGATTCGGAACCTAATAGCCAGGTTTGAAAACTGGATCAGGCGGTGATCTTCCGCTATCCCAGACTTTAATCCCCTTGATTATTATGTGTCAGTCACAGTTGAGCGAGAGACCAACAAAACTCCTTGTAACACCAAAGATGAACTGAAAGTAAAGATTATGGCAATATTCACCAACTTAAACAAGGAGACCGCTCAGAAGAGTTGCAGGAAGTCGTCTGGAGGCCGTGGTTGAAGCCAATGGCGACTTTATTTAATAAATTTACTTTTTAGTATTTCAAGATATTTTTGTGTAATTTTAGTAAATATATCTGTTAAAATGATATTCATTTATATTTAATTTCCACGACAATTTATCCATCGTACCCTTTATTGTTTTTTTTGATGTCGTTAATGGGGAACCGTTACATTGCCAAGGAAATTATATTGAAACAAATAAATATTTCTTGAGTAAAATCTCTCTCTCTCTCTCTCTCTCTCTCTCTCTGTGTCTCCCTCTCTCTGAATTTATTTTTAATATGATATTTTTATTAAATCAACCGCTATTATCGTGGATATGACTTATTTTGAAATAAATCTTTATTAAACAGGCTAATAAGGGCCGTGCTTGCTGTGAAGATTTTTTGTGGACGAAGGCAAAAGCATGCCGAATCAAACGATAGTTTCTCCTACAAAGGGGATCGCAGGTTCGATCCATGCTGGAGGATATATTTTCTCTACTTAAATTTCTCGAATGCCGATAGACATAGTACACACTGTTTAATAAAAATCTAAAAATGAGGCGCCTATTTGAAATAAGACGTATCCACTATAATGTCTGACACCCACATGAAAATAGATAAAGAACTAACCGAAAGCTCTTGGGACAATGGAAATTTTTTGTACTCCTTTACGGCAACCAAACGGGAAAATATACCTAAGAATGCGTGAAAATCTAATTAAAAAATTAAATTCTCATTTAACGAAAGATGCTTAAAGGAAAGATTGCTGCCAATATATATATATATATATATATATATATATATATATATATATATATATATATATATATATATATATATATATATATATATATATATATATATATATAAAAAAAAAAAAGCGAACATTGAAGTCAACACTTAAAAAATATTTTGGGGACATCATACGTAGCCATTTACATCTCCAAGGGATGCTCTATAACCTAAAACGAAACTTATAACTTTTCAAACGCCTTCAATGTTCACTTTTATATTTACACACTATATCTCTGATATTGAGCACTATATCCCATGAATATAGCACACCTTAAGAGTATTTTTCTTCATATATATATATATATATATATATATATATATATATATATATATATATATATATATATATATATATATATATATATCAGTTCATATTTATTAAGCTATCTATGAAATTATGTTCCTTTCTATATCAGACCTTTCATATGGCCTTGCAGTGCTGTCTCTTTTGAAACTAGACAGATATCACTTCAATAAACATGGGGTATTTTGGGAAAAAATCGAAGATGGAAGTTTTGAAAGGAGAGAAATCGTGTTAGCTCCCAGCACTCGAGAAATACGCGTGTCATTCTTGGAGTAAAAAGAATCAGGTCGGGGCTTAGAATTAACCAAGTAGAGGATAAGTTGAAACAGATGCTCCGATGTTTGTGTTGCTGAACACAAGCCAACCTTCCTCTTTAATACCCAAGGCGAGCATAAAGACTTCATCGTAATGGCGGGAAGATCTGTTCATGCTTAGCGAATTGAATAATGTTTGTATTGTTGATAATGGCGATATTTATCTCCGCATTTATGACCAAACGTTGAGTTTCTTTTGTATTTCTGTGTATATAATCGTTTATATCTTTGTGTCTTTAATGGAAGTATTTACTAAGTTTAGCCATGTCTGGCACAGGGCTGTATCAGGACACATATATATTGTTGCATTGATTTTAAATCAGCACCGGGTGTTTTTATATCAAATATTCCCTATAGACAACGTACAAGTGTCGCTCAAGTGAAAGGGTTATTTTAAAACGGTAGCGATGTGTTATATAAATGAAAGAAGAGCAAGTAAATATAAAGAACGATTGCCCTCCGAGTTGATTTTGTTGTAAAGCTATTATGTTTTCGTATTCTGTTCAAATTTCTGGAATTTTGATTAACACATTTTATAGAAGATAACGATTCTAAAGCAGTCAGTTTTAGTAATTAAAGTGCTCAATGTAAAAATACAGAGCATTAATAAATAAAATAAAATAAACAAATAAAATTAAATTTTCATGTTTATTTCCCTGATCTGAGTTTCGCAGAGCTTGCCTCCTTTCGTCACTATGTTAACAATTTACTTGAAAGCCTTTGTACACACATCTCGTCGTCGTTGGCAGAACTTGTTACCGATTGTTGGGTTGCTCATTGACATTTCCTTTCGTTTGAGATGAGTCCTATGAGAAGAAAATCTTTGAGCATGAAAGCCTTGGCTTGCGAATTATTTGATGTGGTCCATGGGTCGCCACTGCATGGCACACACATACACACATATACCTCAGCTGTTACCATCCGCTGCGGCAAACCAAGGCTTGACGCGCAGGTCCATGATAACAGTTTGGGCTGCGGATTTGTTCTCGTACGTAGAACGTCGCCTTGATCACCTACCTCCCGGGCGTTGGGCCGGGCTTAATATGGTCCCTCCCTTGAATACTTACCGCCATGGTTGACCCTACCAAAAGACGGCATTGCATTCACAAAATATTTCGATTATATAAAAATTATCTAATGTACACAATTGAAAAATTTGCTATTAGATTACGTTATGCAATAACGTCTCTAACAAAGAACAAATGAAAAATATGTTTATGTCAAAAATTAACCTCATTTTTAGGGGAAATTAGGTAACGTATTTTAATAAAAATATGATTTCTGTAAATTTTTTTTTTATTTTACTGTCAAGCTCCCTGATAGATAGATAGATAGATAGATAGATAGATAATTGAGTAGCAAAATGGAAAATACCTAAAAAACGGATTTTGTTCTTCGAAAAAACTTCTTCAGATTAAATAATAATATTATTGATGGAATCATATATAAGTTATTATAAATAAATTAATAAATATTATTCCAAATGTCAAAAAGTAGTGATCATGTTTTTTGTACACGTACAGAAAGTACAAAACATGATTTTTACGTGAAATCTTAATTTCAGCAAATAAAAATTGGTATGAGTATTACATGACTAGCGTCATTATCTGTGTCGTTATGTAACCAAAATTTATTAAATTTTTATATAAAACTACATTCAGTATGTATGTTATTTATATAAAACTACCTCCAGGGTGTATGTATAAGCATACATACATATACCTCCAGGGTATATGTATGTGTTATGAAATATAAAGAGATATAGTGTTTATGTTTGGGTTCCATTCCCAAGCTGTCCCATTTTATAGATGCTATATACAAATTAAATAGCCTGTATTCTAAAACCTGAAAATAAATCTGAAATCCGATCCATTTCCGATCCCAAGAATTTCGGATAAATGATGCTCAACGTCCATTGTGGTCACGTGATCGAAGTTTGAGTTTGATTGCTTCAGTTTTCTTGCTGCTGTTACAGTTTAAACATGGCCGCTCCACTAGCAGTGTTCACCAAGGAGCAAACAATATTAACGGTTAAAATTAAGAAATATTAATTGACTTACAAAGAAGAATGAAGTTTTAAATTGAATATGAAATTAAATTAAATAAGTTTATAAATATTCAAACTGAAAATTACGATTTTTCATGAAGATTTCTTTGGAGATCGGAGGAGGGCTTTCAGCAATTGTTCTTTTGTAAGGCCGGTAGATGGCCGCTGTCTGCCTAAATGTTGCTTATGAACGCCGTGAACAATTCCATGTGCTTCAAGCTTATCTCAGATGCAAGCAATGGTGTCACGTAGGCGGATCTCCCTGAAACTGTCTTTTAAATTGTCTTTACATTTCTTTGATGTTTTCGTGCTCCCAGTAACACTTTATGGCAAATTTTCTTTCTTTCTTGAAATCTTAGTCGTAACTCCACCATTATTAGGATATATTGGATCTGAAAAAATTACAAGAAGCCAAAAAGTGAGTACATTTTTGGACATCCCGTATATATATATATTTAAAAGAAAAAACAGACCACTTTAACGTACCATTATAATAATTTATTTCACCAGAGTCCTTTTAAAGGACGCCGGATCATCAGATACAACTTCCAAAAATGAAATGAAACGAAAAATGAAATTAAAATTGATGGGTAGTGTAAGTTTTTGTAATTTAACAGAGAGTGTGAAAGGGATAGTTAAAGAGACATGGTAGAGTATAGGGAGGGATTAATTTCATATCTCTCTCAAGTATACTTTGTATTGGGGGAGGAGGAGTGATCAGACCGTGACCTATTTAGACTGTTAACTTAACGGAAGTGATATATTGAATTGGGAGGGGAGTAGGGAGAAAAGAAAAAGGAAAAAGGAAAAAGAAAGAAGGGGGCGAGGGAAGTAAAGGGAAAGAGGCTGTAATTGGGTTTTAGCAATTTATGTAAAGAATAGATTTTAATGCTGGATAGAAATTTAGATGTCTAAAAAAATTTATTTGATGTTTGCTATCGATTTAATTATTTAATTTTTTAAACAAATAGTTTAAGGATGTAATATAAGTTAAATACTATATTTATTAACACATTTATAGAGAACATATTAAAAAGAAATATTTTAAATTATAATAGTTTGTTTACCCGATTAATCGTACTTTTTTAATATTGTAAAAATAGTTACGGTAACATCTTTATTAGTTTTACTTTTAATCTAATTTATGAATGCAATTTGTCATTATTTTTATATGGGTAATCTTTCTTACTTAAAGTTTAGGTTTAATTATGGAATAATATTTGAGGGTAATATTAAAGATTTTGCTTTCTTCTTATATATATCACATACATATTCATGCAAATCTCATATATACATACGTTTATTTACATGCGCAAATACATACATAGACACACATGTAGCGATATACACAGGTACCTATACATATTCATACATAAATTACATACACATACATTTATAAATAATTACATATATGTTTATATTTGAATTCATGTAGATTTTTGTGTAATTTCATAGTTAATGTTTAACGTTAGGTGACTTCTGGAGTGTATAATTATACCCCCCCCCACCACCACCAAAAAAAAAATTTAATTTAATATTTTACTATCAATATTGATACTTAAAATTGGTATATTTAAAATTAAGTTAAATTATCAATTTAAAATGAAAATTCCTCCAGATGATGAATATACACTCATAATTCTAATTATAGAATATTAAAAGAAAAAGTGAGATTAAATATTAATAAGAGTAATTTTAAAACTACATTAAAATGACCTTATGTCCTTCCATTGAATACATTCTATACACACGCACATTTTATATATATATATATATATATATATATATATATATATATATATATATATATACATACATATATATATACTTACAAATATACATATATACATATACATACACATACAACTACATACATACATACACACATATATATACATATACATAAACAAGCATATAAAAAGAACTATACCCATAAACATCCACACATGCATATGTATTTATATTACTATGTTTTACATATATTCACACATATTACAAATAACTCTCAAATATTTACATCTATAAACACATACATACATATACTACATGCAATTTCAGATCCAAGAATATATATATATATATATATATATATATATATATATATATATATATATATATATATATATATATATATACACACACTCATACATACGTACATATACATATATATATATATATATATATACACACACATACATACATACATGTAAAAAATATATACACATATATATACAAAAATACCTAGCCAAAAACTACGCTTGCACCTATACATACTACATATTCATACTCATAAATATTCATACTCATACATATGCATATATATATATATATATATATATATATATATATATATATATATATATATATATATATACTAGTAGTAGAGCCCGGCGTTGCCCGAGGATGTAACAGTAAGAGATAGATCAAGTATCGACCATCATAAAGACTGAAAAATAATATTGACAAAGATTATTGTTTAAGGTTGACGGACACGCATGTCTTAATTAGTTTTTTTTTTTACGAATTAGTCAAACCCAAACTCAAACAAAAACATTGTTTACAATCGTTATGAGTCTATCGATTGGTGAATAGAATTTTATTATAAACAATTGTCTTGTAAATGGAATTTTTAAAGCATTTTGAATGTAAATAAAGAAAAAAGTGTGCAAGACAATAAGAAATACTACCAGCCAAAAAAAAAAAGTGGATGTTTGTTTTATCGGCTGAAAAATGTAAGAAATCCGATCCCATATATAAAGGAACACACACACACACACACACACACACACACACACACACACACACACACACACACAACCTGGTTTTTTTTTACCTAAGTCACTCCACGGAATTGCTAAAACATAGAGCATAGTCTGATGAAAAAGACGCTAAAGTTTATGAAAACAAAATTTTATCGTCAAAATGCTTATGTTTTTATGAAGTGGATAGACTAAATTTTTTTTTAATTATTTTTAAAAATTTTTCCATCTTTTTAGAATATTCTAAATTTTGATTTAAAAAACCTTGTTTCTCTTTGTCGCAACAAGGGGTAGTAAATAAAATAATTTTTAGCGCGTTTTTTTTGTATTTACACATATTAATTTGGAAAATCTTGCAAAAATAAAAATAATTGTCAGATGTTAATGAAACTTTCAGAAACTATTCACAGATGATCGAAATTATTATAAATATATTTTTTTTATTAAAGTCATGGCAGAAATATTTTTTTTATATTTATTAACACTCCCATAACTAATTTTATGAAAAACTCTAGAAATTCGAGACCATCGGTTTTAGTGATTACAATAGTTAAAAGCACAAGGCTTTGAAGAATGCAAATCATGTATTTTTTTTGTTTTTTTTTGGCCAACGTACCTGAAAATCAGCTGTGAATTGTAACATACAAAACTCAATAAAACAAATATATTATTTAGTTTCAAATGTTTTTATTTGTTTTAATTTGTTTTTATGAATATGGACAATATTTTCTGGAAAGAAAAAAATTTTTCAATGAAAATTGAATTTTTAATACAATTATTTCTTATTTCTTTAATTTTAAAAAGATTTAAAAAAATGTTTAAATTGAATTTAAAAAAATATTTTAACATTAGTTAAATGCAACATCAACCTTTCAAAATGTCCGTGTGAGATTGTCATTGTCTAGCGCTTTGAAAATTGTATAATTTGGACCAATCAGATTAGCCATGGTAATTAAGAAATGTAATTTTTGTGTTTATAGTCGGACAGTAATTATCAAGTACGGAAGACCAACCAGAATACAATTTAGTTGCATTATTTGAGTTCAGCATTGTTATCCGCTGTTAAGCCCTTTACTTTTGCGAAACACGTATGGAGAAGTTAATTTGAGTGTTCAATTTCAACTGAGAAGGGTACCTACAAGTAACAGTATCATGTGAATGTTATGAAATTTAACTACTGCTAAACTTTAATTTATATGAACTTATTTTTATATTAATCTCAGTTATGACATTTTTCCATAAATGAAATATCAAAATTAATAAAAAAATGAATGGAAATACAAATAACACAGTAAAATGTAATAAATGTACATAAAATTATAGTATTTTATGTACACTTCTGATAAAATTTCATAAGAAAGGTACCTAAATTAATTAGATACCTTTTTCTTATGAAATTTAATCTCACTATTAACAGTCTTATTTTTTAATTTCTTTATATTTTCCATAAAGCATCGTAAACGTAAAAATGAAAGCTAAGTACAAAAAAAAATAAATAAATAAAAAATTAGAGCGCTGAAAGATTTCCTTAAAAGTAACGAGGTAAATAATTTGTTCACTTAAATAAT